GATGACTCTTATTTCTCTAGGATATATTCCTAGGAGTGGGATTGCTGGATCGAATGGTATGTCTATTTCTAGCTTTCTGAGGAGGCGCCATATCATTTTCCAAAATGGTTGTATCATTTTGCATTTCCAGCAGCAGTGCATAAGAGTTCTGATCTCCCCGCAGCCCCTCCAACATTTGTTATTTCCAGTGTTTTTGATTCGTGCCAGTAATGCCGGCATGAGATGGTATCTCATTGTGGTTTTAATTTGCGTTTCTCCAGAGTTGCTTTTTAAACAAGAGTAGTTAGGTTTAAAATGGGCAGCTCCTGTCCAGAGGTGAGATGAGAAGGCAGAGAGGGTCAGGAGCTGGTTGGATAGACACGGGAAATCCGGGATGGAAAGGAAGAGTGTGCCGTCACAGTACAGGGAGAACAACTAGGGTCACATAATAATGTATGTATAAATTTTTGTATGAGAGACTAACTTGAATTGCAAACTTTCACTTAAAGCACAACAATAAAAAAAAAGAGTAGTTAGGTTTAATCAGTGCCTCTATGGGGCAGGTGTCATTTAGAGAGTCCTTGGTGGTCCTGGGACCGGATTGGGGGGTCTCAGGTCTTTGGCTCAAGCCTGGCCTCCCAAGTAGTGTCAAATCCTCACCTTGGCCTGTGGCCCCCTCTTGAGCACAGCTGACTGTCCCTCTGCCTGTCTCCCACCAGAGCTGAAGATCCCGGACAACGCCAACGTGTTCTATGCCATGAACTCTACTGCCAACTATGACTTTGTTCTAAAGAAGCGGACTTTCACCAAGGGGGCAAAGGTCAAGCATGGGGCCAGCTCCACCCTTCCACGGATGAAGCAGAAGGGACTCAAGATTGCCAAGGGCATCTTCTAGCTGGCCCCTGGCACCGGCCAGCCACAGGGCCGCCCTCCCAGGGTCTGGCTGGCCAGGTAGGGAAGCACTTACAGACTAGAGAGGCTCAGGCCAGGCAGGTGCCTCCCTCCCAACCTGCCAGCCCAGGCCACCCCCAAACTCCAGTTTCACCACTGAACCTCTCCTGCTGCCAGGCATGATGCCTGCCAGTCGACAGGCTGATCTGGACCCCCGTGGACCACTCGCTGCCTTAGGTGCCTTCTGCTCCCTGGGAACCAGAGGACTAGCTGACCTTTGCCAAGGAGTGCTGCCAACGAGTGTGGTGCCCTGCCTGCCACTGGGCACTACCCTCTGTACACATCCCTCGCGCCTTTGTGGGTGCAGGTCATTGCCACCTGTGCCCATGGGCACCCCAGAGCACCTACTCACCCACTGGGTCTGACCACTGCAGTTCTCTCCTCGTGCCCATGGGCCTGCCTGTGACCTTCCCAGGGGTATGGCCGTGCCTCCCACCACTCTAGCCCCTCTCAGGCTGCACCAAAGATTCCACCATCAGGGCCAATCAAGAGTGAGGGAGTCTCGCCCGCCCCCCACTCAGCCCTCTCCCGGGAGAGGAGAGACAGACCCTCTTTGTGGATCATGCTCTTCTCCCCATGAGTGAAGAGGGCCCAGCTGAGTCCCATGGATGTCGAATCCCGTGTCACTGCAAGTGCCACGCGCCGCTGCTTCTGAGCTTTGAGACCACACGGGACGGGGGTTAGTGGGGAGGGAGGGCTTGGGGGCAAGGGAGGAGGAGGGGGATTGAGTATTTGTATAAAGGCAAAAAAACAATGTTTACCAGTTGGGGAGGGGCAATATTTATTTGTTGTAAATAGCAAATGCTAGACTTGAATATTATATTAAAATCCCGTTTCTACTACAGCCTGGGAGTTGCGGTTTTCTTCTTTTGTTTCCTGTGTTAATTCACATGAGATACAGATTCTGTCATTCCCCCTTCGGATAAGAAATCTTGCAGGGTCATCAGTTTACTTCATGCAGGAAAAGCAAGAAGAGCCGCCCTCCCTTCTCTGGTTGTGGGAGGAAGCACGCAAGTCCACCTTTCACGGAGCACGTGTTCGTCTCAGGATCGTGAAGCCAGCCAAGGAGCTGTGATAGCCCATTGAGCTCCTTCTTCTTCTAGAAGAAGATGCTGCCACCAGGCACAGCAGCAACCTCTAAATGTGGGCGTCCTTAAAAACAACATTTGCAAGGACCATTTCCCAACCCAGGATGGTGGCTGTCTTTATACAGCTTTGGGGAAAGAGGGAATATTTTCTGCTTCTCTTGCTGAGGTTTCTTTGGACCACCGGTTGGTAACTTGTAGTCTTCAAGGTCAAACTCTGGAAATCCATCAGCAACTAGTAGGGGAAATGTGAAAAGGTCAGAACTCACTGTGTGGACAAGACAAGGCCAGAGGAAGACCATTAGCAAATGGACAAAGGGCAGGTGGAACTTGACCCCTGCTTCCCCTCTAGGGACTCGTGGTCAGCCCTTTATCTTAGATTTGAATCCTCCGGGCTTCATGTCCTGGACCTCAGAAATCCGGCTCGCTTCCTGTCCAGGGGGAAGGATTTGGGATGTAGCTTTAAAAGGCTGTAGTTAGGCCTCACTCCGTAAGCATTACTGCTACCTATGAACTCGTGTTTCCAGCCTCCCTATAAGTCCTTGTACACTATTTTTAGCCTAGAAATTCCTTAGGAGGCCCCAGCCTCTGCCTGGTTCATTACGGCCACTTCTGGCTGGGACCTGATGAATCACTGTGAGCTCCAGTTTGCTGGGAGAAGCGTACTTATTCCCTGCCAGTGAAAGACCCTTCACGCTCCCCCTTGCTCACCAAGGTGGTGTCTGGAGCCATGTGGTTATGAGGTCCCGTCTCAGTGATGACCAGCTCACAGACTCACTCACGTTGTTACTGACTTGTCCTAAAAGAGTAGCTGGGCCCCGAGCCCTTGGAGCTTGTAGCCCTCTGGGATAGCTGTCTTCTGTGTCCAAGGTCTGGTGCTTTTGTTGTATCATAGGCGGTGTGAAACTCTCCCATGGGAGAGATGAAAGATGCAGCATGACAGGGCAGGGGGATGCCGCCAAGACTGAGGGTCCCTGGGCACACAGGGACACAGCCTTACCAATTACAATACTGAAATGCTTCCAATCTGGGGGTTAATTAGATGCTGCCCTGAGTGCACCCGAGGTGCCTCCCTGGCTTCCCCGGAGCTAAAGGATGAACACCGGGCCCAGCACAGGAGCTGTACCAGCCTCCAGCCTGCTCCTTGTTAAGTATTTTCAACCTTCTCCCTTGGATACACCCTGCAAAGGCAAGAGCCAGATCAATTGCAGAGCAAATCTGAGTTACCTCCCTCTTGCCAATAGCTGTAGTGTCTCCCAGACACACATCAGGGCTCCACTCTGCCAGGGAGGCCTTCTGAGTGCAACCCCGGAGCTGAGCAGACCCTGATTCTTGACAGCCGGGCCCTGGCTGATGTGGCCTAGCCACCCAGGGATGTGATTTGCTAAATAAAGGTGCAGCTGAGCTTTCCCACAAAGGGGTAAGAGCCAGGTCCCAAAGCTAGTCCAGGGCCAGAGGACGGCACTGGTGCCTGAGGGGTTTCTCCTGCAGGGCTGGGAAGCTGAGAGCAGGCCTTGTCCATGCCACTGTGGCAGAGGGGGGACTCATTACTGTACCTTGGGGCATCCATCTGCCAAGAATACAGTAACAGTTACCCAGACAAGACCCATGTTTGCAGTGAGGGTCCATCACAGTCTGTCTTGATGGAGAGCCCTCTCCTTACACCCAAGACTCCTTGACCAAACCAGAAAGCCCAGGGCAGCCACGGTTGTCTCAGGCAGGCGCTGGGTGCCACTGTGCTCCTGGAGGGGAGAGGGTTGGCACCCAGCTCAGGCTGTGCTGTGAGGGGAAGCAGGACTCCAGCTGGCCTTGATTCCTGATGGAAAGTATTATGTCAGTTCCTGGCAGGAAGCAAGTATCAGGGCAGTGATTGTTGGGTTGGCAGGCCAGGGCAGGTGGCCTGAGGTCTCCTGGGTCTGCCTTCCTCGGGAAGTGCCAGCCCTCCATTTCAGTGGATCTTAAGTCCTAGCTGTGGGCAGTGTTGCCACTTCAGTCTGGTTTCTGCACAAATCTTGATTTTTTAAAGAAGAATTCCATTCTGATAGCCCCTTCCCCAACTGGCTCTAGATGAAGTGGACAGTAAAGATGCGGGTGAATCTAAAAGGTTTTAAAATGCCCTCTGCCATCTGCTTATAAAGGGCGCAGAAAGTATCTGTTAACAGTAGAGACGGGAGGTCTGTACCAGTTTCCTGTAGCTGTTAGGTGCGGTCAAGTCGGTTGCAACTCAGAGTGACCCTATATACAACAGAAGGAAATACTGCCCCGTCCTGCGCCATCCTTACAATCAATCATTGTTATGCTTGAGCCCCTTGTTGCAGCCACTGCATCAGTCCATCTCGTTGAGAGTCTTCCTCTTTTTCACTGACCCTCTGTCTTACCAAGTGTTATGGATTGAATCATGTCCGCCAAAAACTTGTGTCAATCTGGCTGGGCCATGATTCCCAATATTGTATGATTGTCTACCATTTTGTCATCTTTTGTGATTTTCCTATGTGTTGTAAATCCTACCTCTAAGATATTAATGAGGCAGGATTAGAGGCAGTTATGTTAATGAGGCAGGACTCAATCTACAAGATTAGATTGTATTTTGTGTCAATCTCTTTTGAGTTAGAGAGAAACGAACAGAGAGACAGGGGGACCTCATGCCACCAAGAATGAAGAACCAGAAGGGGAGCACGTCCTTGGGACCTGTGGTCCCTGTGCTGAGAAGCTCCTAGACCAGGTGAAGATTGCTGACAAGGACCTTCCCCCAGAACCAACAGAAAGAGAAGGCCTTCCCCTGGAGCTGGCACCTTGAATTTGGACTTCTAGCCTCCTAGACTGTGAGAGAACAAACTTCTGTTTTTAAAGCCATCCACTTGTGATATTTCTGTTATAGCAGCACTAGATAACTAAGACACCAAGCATGATGTGCTTCTCCAGGGACTGGTCCCTCCTGATAACATGTCCAAAGTATGTGAGACCAAGTCTTGCCATCCTTGCTTCTAAGAAGCATTCTGGCTGTACTTCTTCCAAGACAGATTTGTTCATTCTTCTGGCAGTCCGTGGTACATTCAATATCTTTTGCCAACACCATAATTCAAAGGCATCAATTCTTCTTCGGTCTTCCTTATTCATTGTCCAGCTTTCCAATGCATATGAGACATTAGAAAATACCCTGGCTTGAATCAGGCACACCTTAGTCCTCAAGGTGACATCTTTGCTTTTTAACACTTTAAAGATGACTTTGCAACGGATTTGCCCAATGCAATACATCATTTGATTTCTTGACCGCCGCTTCCATGGGCATTGATTGTGGATCCAAGTAAAATAAAATCCTTGACAACTTCAGTCTTTTCTCCATTTATCATGATGTTGCTTATTGGTCCAGTTGTGAGAATTTTTGTTTTCTTTATGTTGAGATGTAATCTGTACTGAAAGCTGCTAGTAGATGTTAATGATGTTATCCATGTCAACAACTTCAAAGAAAAAAGGAAAAAATGATCATAGCATCTCTTTTTACTGCCTAATGAAAAAAGCTGAGGCCTTTTTACAGTACTTTCAGTAAACCTGGAGTTTCAAAGATTCTGTTGTGTTTTATCCAACAAAGCAGTTCTCATCTTTGGTGAGTGGCAGTACTAAATAAAATCTTTAAATTTCTCTATGGAAAAAGAAACTAAAAAGCTGATCAAAAGACAAATGATAGACTGGGAGAAAATATTTATAATAGTGTAACAGACAAAAAGTTAATATCCTTAATATGATCTTCATCAGTAAGTGCTTCGAGTCCTCTTCACTTTCAGCAAGCAAGGTTGTGTCATCTGCATATTGCAGGCTATTAATGAGTCTTCCTCCAATCCTGATGACTTGTTCTTCTTCG